TTAAGTTGTCATGTGATTTCAGCCAAAACTGAGTTTGGATCTAGGTATGGAGCATCTATCCTCTCAAGAGGATAATTATCAAAAGAAAGTTTCTAATTTGAATCAGATTCGGATCACCTCCTAATTAGATTAGGAGTCTTGCTCTATAAAAAGATAAAGAGAGAAAAGGGTGAACTAGTCTTGAATTCTTCACATTCTTGCTCTCTCTTCTTCTCTATTGTCTATCAAGAAACCCATCACGACCTAGCCTTTTCAAGAACTAATTTCTATCAGTTTCTTTTATGATTTTTCATGAAAAAACATTGAACAAATTCAGGTTCACTCATCCTACTTTATCCAAGCCAATTAAATAGTAGATATGCTAAAATAAGAGTTGCTGAATCGATTTCTCCCATACATTGCGCCATCTTCAATTGGAGGCTGATTTTGGGACTGATATTGGGCATGAACTTCCACCTTTGGAGTTGTGATTTGTTTTCTCCATATCAGAAAATTTGGTTTCAAATCGGGTCCGATTCAGTGCAAGATCGATTCAGAAAATTTAATTTTCAAATTCACCAAAAAATCAGTTCCCAAAAGGATTAGAAAAAATTTTGAAACTTTACCCAGCCATTTTAGCATGGTTTTTCCATTCATATGATGGATTCTAAACCCTTCCAACACTTTAGCCCTCAAACTTTTTGTTAAAACTATCATTTATATAGCAAGTAATGGAGGTTGGGTTAAAAACATTTGCCCCCCCCCCCCAAAAAAAAAAAAAAAAAAACCTAAATTGAAGTGTTAAGAATCACTTTCTAATGCTCTTCCAACTCCTAACATTTAAAAATGTTTGTTTGTTTTTTCTTTAAAGAAAGCTGTAATAGACCCAAATCTTACCAACCCATCTTTCTTGAAACCCTTCCTCTTCTACTCCCTAATTCATTTTCTTCTTTAACTTCCCCCCCCCCCAAAAAAAAAGAAAAAAAACAAAGAAATTTCTGAACTCCACCACTAGTGAGGAGAGTGCATTACTGTATCCATGCAATGGATACGGAATTGTATTCTCCGATTCTTGACGTAAAAGGCTTAATTTAATCCGTTGATTAAGTAAGAGAGAGACCACCGTGCAACCTTTTGCATCGATTTGAAACAAACAAGGAGAGAACAAAATGGGTTTACAACTATGTACCATTTTGCATTCTTGAACTGAATAGAAGGTATATATGAGTACATATTTGCATTTGTATCACAAATAAACGTATTTATGACTACTAGGGGTGAGGAAGAAAAACCGAAAACCCAATTGAAATTGAACCAAAAATCTTGTTAATCAAATCGGTCGGTTCGGTATTTTTAAAAAACTGAAGGTATCGATTCAATTTTTGTTAACCAATATAGAAAACCGACAATTAACTAAACCAACCGATATACATATTTTTCTATATTATATATAATAGTTATATATATTTTATACTTTCTATATATTATAATTTAATAAATATGCAATATATAAATATATTTATAATATATATTATATTATTTATTATTTAAAATGCAATCATTTATATATATATTTATAGTTTTTTATTATATATTTATATACTTTTATAATATATTATAAATATAAAAAAACAAAAAAAAAACTGATGGTTAACAAACCGGTCAATCTATCAACCAATCGGCTTCGGTTTGGTTTCGGTTACTGGTTTTCCAAAAACTAGTAATGCCAATTCTATTTCAAAAATAGGCCCACTGTTTGGTTAACCGAACCATGAGCAGCCGTACCGATTTCATAATAGAAGATGGTATGATAAATGAGTTATTTTCTTTTTTATAGCTATAATTTACCTAACCAAGATAAGACTAAATGAAAGACTTAGATTTGGAGCTGCAAATCAGGTTGTGCCACCTATGGCTTGGCATGATTGCACGTGGGCTGTGCTAGGCATGACACGATCGTGTAGGCCGAGGGTTTCAAGTCCACGGGCCAACACAACACAGAATGGCCTGGCCTACAGGCACGTAATGGGCCAAGCATAGCTCGTCCAAAAAAACTAGTCGTTGGGACCCTTGGGGGACCCCCCAAATGGTTAGTTTCAACTTTTTAGGAGGGGGGGTATAGAAATATCCCCTTAATCAACAACTATAAGCCTATAAATAACTATATAGTGGGGTATTCATGTATGGCTTTTTTTTTTGGGGGGGGGGNGGGGGAGGGAGAAAAAGACAATAGTGCCCGTCTAACAACTATATCCTATAATATAACAACTAGTTTGGGACTTTGGGGGCATTTGGGTAAAGTGATAAATGGTTTTATAATGACAAATACCCTTCCCAACAATTAAAAAATGACTTATTTTTAGGGTATTTTAGGCAATTGAATTATTTTCAATTCCTATAAATAGCCATATCCTCCACCAGTCTCATCACACCAATTCAACAATTATGAATTATCTTCTCAATTCTTTATTCTCATTATCTCATACTCTCTCAATCTCTCATTCCATCCTGTCATAGTGTCATACACTTAGAAATTTAGGAGGCTTTGGCCTTTGAGGCTTCAATCGTTGAAATCAAGTTGAGATTCTGAATCGGTAATCCAACCATCTAGGTGAGTGCAATTAAATTAATTTTTATTTTTTAGAATTAAAAAAAAAAGATCGGCTCATCCTCCCAAAATCAATTCCCCAACAATAAGTTTACTAGCTTGATTTGGAAAGTATTTAAAATAGAAGACATTGAGGGGAAGAGAAAGAAAGTTGTTTGCCAAAAATGTAGGATTGGCTTTAACTTCAATAGCAAGGGTGGTATTGGCCACTTGGGCAAACATTTGCTTTTCCATGAGAAACAAGAAAAAGACATATACTTTTAAAGATTTGCTGGATGCTGAGGATAAATTACAAGACAAAGAAGGACATGACACTACTACACCTGATGGAACAAATGATTGAAGTCAAGGAGATGGAGTAGTTTTTCAATTTTATTTAAAATATTTGTTATTTTTCAACAATGTAATTTTTATATTTTAATTGAAATCAAATTCTATTTTTTTCCAATTTGTTGTCCATTTTGTATTTTGGTAAGTATTTTTTTTTTCAATTTGTTTCCAAAGGAAACTTAAGTATTTTTAATTTTATTTAGCAAAGAAATTAAAAAAATCAAAATCTCAAAAAAAAAGCAAAAGAAAAAGTTTGGGCCTTTTTAGCTTAGATCGACCCTAGCCCAATCCCACGGCATGGCTTGCATCCCACTTGGCCCAAACCCGCGGGATTAGGGGTGGATTGAAGCCAAGTCGAGCTAAATACTTGGCTATTTGAGCTCGGCTCGCTGAAACTATGTTAGGCTCGAGCTCGATTTGATCTAGAGATTTGAGCTCGAGCTTGGCTCGGTTCAAAGCTCGCAACTTCGAGCTTGGTTCGGCTCGGCTAAAGCTCGACTGCAAGTCAAGTTTTTTTTTCTAAAAAATAAAAAGTATACATATAAAAATATTTTTTATTTTACATATAAAAAATTAAGAATTATAAAAATCATTTATTATCATACATATAAAAAATAAAAATATACATATAAATAATGCTTTTATTTTACATATAAAAAAATAAGAATTATAAAAATTATTTACTATTATACATAAAAAATAAAAATATTATATATAAAATATTATTATATAATAAAAATTATTTATTATATATATTTATATATGTATATGCATATATATATATATGTATGTATGTATGTATGTATGTATGTATGTATGTATGTATGTATGTATATAATAAAAATTTATTTATTTATTATACTAGGCTTGCGAGCCTCACGAGCCGAGCTTCACTAGGCTTGAGCTTGGCCTGATTAGCAAATAAGCCTATATACCAGGCTCGAGGTCAGCTTGATTCTTGATTTAAACCAAGCCGAATTAGAATAGCTCGTGAGAAACTCGGCTTGTGGCCACCCCTACGTGGATGGCGCAAGCCTGCATTGGCTCGAGCCATGGGTCCTACCAGGCCGACCCCTCAAAATATCCTAAGGGAGGGAGACACGGCCCAAAATGGCCCACAGGCCATGTCGTGCCCGCTAGCACGATTCGTTTTACAGCTCTTCTTAGATTAGAAGTAAACCATAATTGCAATTGCAAAATGCATCTCAAATGAAAACTTTTGCTTCTTTTACAAAAGGAGATTTTCACGGTGGATGGTGGCATCACGCCTACTTATTTTTTAAGATTTTTGAATTTTGATGAGTTGACTTTAACATCCACTTCCAAACCGTACAGCTGGGGTTTGTTTGTGGTGTAAATCGGTGTTGATGTAAACCTCCATTGCTAGTTCATTTTTGTTGATGTTTGTTTGCAGTGTAAATAAAGATCCATGTAAAACTCCAATATTTCTAGTTTAGATTTGTTAGCATTTAGGTGGAGTAGAGTTTATCATGTTTTTTCAAAGTACAACGATTCATACATTTTAAACCATTAGTGTTTAACTCTAGAGTTTTTCATCAATGCTCTAAAAAATGACTTGGAACCGGAATTGTTATGGCCACCAGTTTCTAAGTTATTGGTTTGATTATCCGGTTTGAATGAATGGCCCGTTCCGATAAAAAGTAAAAAACTAAAAAAATAATTAATAAAAAACAGTCAAAAACCATTGAATGAATTGACAGTTTGACCACTCGAATCAATGAATCATTAATCGATTTAATGGTTTTTTGTCAAGGACTGGGTTTGATATAAAACAGAACCAATTGACTGAATGCTTCTCTAACCGAACAGTCTGACCATCCAGATCAACGGCAGTTCGAAAATATATAAAAAGGGATGAGTAAAAACCCCATAAAAAATACTCGCACAATCTCATTTCGTTCAGGACTACTTCCAGTGTTGTAGGGGTAGTTTTGTCATTTAAATATACCTTTTGAAAAATATATTCGCGATTTTCACATCCAGGTCATAGATGAAAATGGCGGGAACTTAGCACGTGAGAAGTGGCACGTGCTAACTCTCAAAACTCTCTTTCGCGCCTCTTCTCGTCACTATCCATTGTTCTGTCTGCAACCTATGCTTCCCTTCTCCCACCTTCTCTCTCTCTCTCTCTGAGCGGATAAATCTCTCGAGCAAAGTTGGCGTTATTTTGTCCAAACCATTCAATCGCGCATCAGAAAGTTTCATCAGGTAGATCTCCCTGAAACGGTTCTGAAAACCCCAACTTTTTGGTGTGCTTATTGGATTTAAACCCTAATTTGCCATTTCTCTCTCTAGATCTGGAACCCGTGCCAATGGAAGCTTCGAGTCACTAATTTTCATTGGACTGTTCGGATCTGAACTTAAAGGCTGTCGTCCAACTTCAACCAGAGTTTTTCCATTTTAGTGCGCCATGGCAGCTTATCTTACAGACTCGGAGCAGTGTAGTGTAAGCTCGACGGACATCGAGAAAGCATGGCATCTTCTGGCTGTTCTGTTGAGCATAGGACGTCCTGCTCGTCCTGGGGAACTTTGTGCTAGATGCACTTTGTTCCGTGCGTCACCGGATTTTGTCGAGTCCTTGTGCTTAATCCCTCGTTCACCCTTGTTCTTGACGGATGATCTGTTTGTTACGATCTCTCTGTTCGCTTTATCGGCTTTCGAAGAGTTTGCGTCGAAGGCTGTTGGTTCATTTGTCCCGCGTATCATGCTTAGGGTTCCTGAACCGAAGAAATTATGGGATAATGTTGTTCGCACGTATTTTAGAAAGCGGAAGGCACCGAGGGCTGATTGCGTTCTTCTTCCAACAGCGAAAAGGAGATTTCTTTTACCTTCTCATAGTGGTAAGAAGTGCAGTTCATGCTAGAAAATAGAATTTCTTTAGATATTCCATAGAGGTTTTATCCAATTTGTTTGATACTTATTGATGAAGATAAACTGAACACAGATGAGGATGGTCAAATTTTGTTCTCGTTGTCGGACAGGATTCAAAGTAATTCTTTTGAGGTATCATTAGTTTCACCTCTCTTTATCTTGATCAATTTTCGCAGAACTTTTCTTATTTTCGGGAATTATTCGTTTTTTGGAATGATGCAAACCTGAGTGGGTGTCAGTTCTAATGAGTAACGGCTCCTGATTGTCTACCTGACACTCATTTTTAATCTTAACAGATACTTTGTTAATGCTTAAAATAAGATTTTCCCCATTATGTGACCTGACACACTCTCCACCATACCGTTTCACCAAAGCACAAGGGTTTTGAAATTCAGAGTTGCAGGCTTGCAGCATTCATGACTTATGGGTTCACATAATTCCATACTTCTCCAAAGCCCTATTGTTTTTCCTTCTTTCACCGTTTGTTTTTCCCTTTTTTTTTTTAAACAAAGTATTTTGTTTAATAAAACCATGCGGTTTTCTTTCCATTCATTTTCTTCTCTGTACTATTAATTTTTCACTCATGAGTCATTACTATGGTAGCATCTGAATTCTGTGCATCATGCAGGGTTATGATATTGCGAATCATATGATCAGAAACATGAGTCTTCTATCAGGTGATAATATCAACATGGCATATGATTTGGGTAATTTAAATGAAGTGCCTGCAATGGGACCTTTGCTTCTCGAATCCAATGTTCAGTTGCCAAGTCTTGCAACGGACACTGAACAAATAGAAATTAAAAATGAAGTCAAGAAGAAAACAGTTGTGAATAGTAAATTGGGTGGGTCCATGCACATACTAGGATGCGAGCATAGTTCTGCAAATGTTCAAATAGATTCTAAAATTCCCAGCCCAATAACAGTGGAAAGGATTATGGCATATGATCCTGATACAGGTCCAGCTATTGTAACAATTACAGTGGAAAATTCAACCTCATGGAAGGAAGTACAAAGAGATGAGGTGGATTTAAGAAACGAAACAGAGTTGAATGTGATATCTTGTCTAGAAGGAGCACAACACAATGCTTCAGCCAGTATTCATGTTGGTCATCCTTTTGATGCCATAGTAAGCAGATCAGTTGAAGATTTGGGACTAAGAATGGAGATGAATGACAAGGAAGAACGAGATTTAAATGATTCTGGTACCCATAGAGAAGATCCAGTAAACAATATTCCAACAGATAATGCTACTCTAATGGATGAAGTTGTCAAACAGGAGTCCCAGTTAAGGAACTCTAGTAATGTGATGATATCCATGAACAAAGAGCAAAAAGCCGGTAAAGTGGCAGTCAAGGCTGTTCTTCCATCAGCTGAAAACTCTGCTACCCAGAAGCTACCAACAAAATCCCTTCCCAGGCTGAAGACTGTTGACAGAGATGCCTCGGCTCTAGGACATCAAGTTCTCTCTAGGTCGTTTCATTACAATAAAGATGCTAACTCTGCTAAACAGGAAGAAAGTAAGAGGGATCAAAGGTTCATTTCCATGAAATACAAGTTAAAGAACAGCCGTAATCATAATGTGCAAACCAAAGAAAACAAGGTAGATCCTACCTCAATAACTCCAAAGGTAATGTTCTTCCCAGTAATAATGTAACTTGTGTCATGCTTGGCTTGATAGTTTCTAAGTTTTGGTAACTGCTTCCTAGTGGTTGGTTTATTTATTTATTTTCGGGGGGGGGGGGGTAACTTACACTGTTCAAGTTGTGCTATTTCAAATGATCATCTCCTTGAAGCTAAATGATTCATAATAATATTTTAATTGTCAAATGCAGAATCAAGTGGAGCAAAAAATACTGCCAAACTTTGAATCTTTTGTCATAGAGGAAGAAGAGGGATCAGGTATCAAAACCTCATCAATTGTTGGTATTCCAGTTAATTGCTCCTCAATTCATCAAGTATAGTTTGGTTCTTCTGTTCACTCTCTTTCTGCTCAAATATGCAGGTGGTTATGGCACTGTATACAGGGCTCGGAGAAAGGATGATGGAAAAACATTTGCTATTAAATGTATGTTAGTCATTAATAAGTATTTTATGCATTGTGCTTGCTTATTCTGATTCTTGAATTTGTATGAGTAGGATAATTTGGTTGCATCTAGTCCAACATGCTTTTCTGTTTAGGATATTAAATTTTGTCAAGGATTTAAAGTATCAACATGATATGCCCAATACAGGGTGTATTGTATTGATTTTGAAGGTTGTTGACATGGAAAATATTCAGAGCTAATATCCATCCTAACAAATATATTTTCAAGGATCAAATTGAAAACAACAAAACTAAAAAAGGAGTATTGAGCAGTTGGCACACAATACTCAATTTATTGGTATTGACGTATTGTGTGTCAGTATTTTGAGTCTTGGATTTGATGCAACAAATATTTGTCATAACAACAATTATTTGTATTTAGTAGCTTCTTGTTAGGAATATTAACTTATAGTAACCAAGACAGGCATTGATGTAGGGCTTCTTCACAATCATTTGTCCCATTACCATAGGCTTACTAAACATAATTTTGTTTTTTGTTATTCTGATTTCTGGGATTTGTAATTATATTATATAAGCAAACTTTGCTGCTTCAAATCTGGTTTTAGGATTTTTGTTTTAGGGGAAATAAGAAACCATCAAAAACCTAAAATGATGACTTTTATTGTATGAGTAACTGCATCTTTACATCTTGCCCCTTGTATTAATGAACCCAGGCTGTTAATGTAGAAGTTGTTTAACATTATTTTCTATGGATACCAAAGATTCAAACAATAGAAGAGTATAGGCAGGATTTTGAATGCTATTCTGCAAGATATTCTATTCTAGATAAGGTTCACTGCAATGTTGTGGAAATTTAATTTCAACTTACCATACTCATAATTTAGGGCTTGGAGAGAAAGGAAAAAGAAAAAAAAAGTGTGTCCTTATTGTTTTGATGTATAATTATTGCTCTCTCTCTCTCTCTGCCCCCTCCCTCCCCCTCCCTGTGACTATTGTATGCCTATCTTAGCAACTTATTTGATGCTGGACCACCAAATAGTAGTCTATTGTGACTGGAAAGATCTATATGAAGCTAGAAACCAGACTATGAGGTCCTCAGTTTAGGTTTTTACACTTTTGGTTAAATGTTCTTGGGAAGGGGTCTGGGTGGAATTTAAGAGTGCTTGGAAATTTAAGAGAAACCAGGGGAAGTAGGTCCAGATTGTGTTATTTATGGATTCTATGAATTAAATAACAAAAATTAACAAAGAATGAAAGGAAGATAATGAGAGAAGATGAGAAACAGAGAGATGGAGAGGACAATTTACTGATGCCAAGAAAAACGTGAGAACAATAAGAAAGCAGCTTTCAGATAAAAATTATTCAACAAAATAAACACAAACTGAAAACAAAATATGTGATGTAGAGAAGAGATATAATATAATATAATACAGTCAGCACCACTAGGTTTCTCTAGGAGTAAAAATCAAACCTTAAAATTGCCAGAAACAATTCATGTTCCATTTTTTATGGTGTCAAATAAAAGTGCTCATGATGGCTACTGAAAAAATCAATTCATGTTCCATTTGTGCAGTTGTGCTGTCAAATAAGAACCACAGAATAAAGTCATGGTGGCTACTGAAATTTGAAAAAGAAGAGCTCATGATTCTCAAGCCAGACCATATAACAGTTGTGCCACTTCTAGGATGAACAAAAATTCAGAAGTTACAGATTTAGATAACCAAACCATCCAGATGACCTTCAAGATCTTTTCTTCCCAATTTGCTGGGTGAGCACAGCATTGGTCTTGCGGTTATGATTGCATGTACTATATACTTTGTTCACTACTGAACCCAGACACTAGCTCAGCTTTTGGACAGTTGTAATCTTTTGGCATGTAAAGATACAGAATTGTGATTGAGATGGTTTATCAAAGAATCCTTTTCATGTCATTATTTTGATCATACACCACTTTGGAGAGTATATGCCTTTTGGTTACAAGTTTTGTCTGAACCAACAATGTTAATAGTAGATAGTCAGACCCCAACTGGGATGTGATTGTCTAAATGGATGATTGATGCCTGTAGTTTTTAGTTGTATTCCCTTTTAAGTTAACATGGTAAACTTGATTTCTTTAATCTTTTATCATGTCTATTTAGGTTTCTACTCTAGTAGGTAGTTTAACAAGCCTTCCTCATCTAGTTTTGTGACAGTTTTCAAAAAAATTCACCACTGCTTCTGATTCTGAATTAACTACAAGGTGTCAGAAAAGTTTATTCAAAGAAAATCTTGTCATTGCGCTTGCTTATGTTTCTTTGGGCCCTCATTTTTTCTTTTTGATTTCTTTAGGCCCTCATGCAAATGCTCACAACCACCATGTTAACAATGAGTTGAAGATGTTAGAGCGATTTGGGTAAGGAGACCAAGATATTTATTGTATTTTGTGAAAAAAAAAACATTGCTACCCCCTTTTAAGTTAAGGAACTGCAAATTCTGATGTCAAGGCAATTCCTTTTGATGCAGGGGTAGGAACTTTGTGATCAAGTATGAAGGTTCTTTCAAGAGTGGCAACTCTGAGTGCTTTGTTCTAGAGCATGTTGAACATGACAGACCTGAGGTAATTATTACTTTATTAGATGCTTCAGTGGGTTATATTGTTATTTCTTCTCTCAGACCATTTTGCTTTAATTTGTAGGTGTTGAAGAGAGAAATAGATATATTTCAGCTACAGTGGTATGGTTATTGTATGTTTAGGGCCCTAGCTAGTCTGCATAAGCAGGTAAACAATCTGCAAAAGGACTTGTGCATCTTGGTGAATTTTGAGCCTTTTTCCTTCAGAAAGGAAATGATGTCTCAATGTTTGCAGGGAATAGTGCATAGAGATGTTAAGCCTGGGAACTTCCTTTTTTGTCGTAGTCTTAACAAAGGCTACCTTATTGACTTTAACCTAGCAATGGTCAGTAATACTTATCTTTCTACTGCCTCCTTTCCTTTTTCTTACAAAGTACCAATTTGGGAGGGCTGTCCTAATGCAACTTTTCAGCTTTCGTGCGTTTCAAGTCAAGGAAGATGAAAAAGAAGTTTTTGGTGAAAAACATGGAGAGCCAGAGCTTGTGGTCATTCAGCCACTTGACTGGCTGTGAGATCAAGCTTCATTCTGTAGCATATGCAGGGTTCTAGCCCAGATCTTTGTGCTGTCATTTTTAAAATTCTTTGTTGAAGGCAATAATGCCCATTTCCTTTTTTTTCACTCTATTCCATTCTTTTTACCATCATTATTTTTGTAGCAGTTTCTCACCAAATGTTGCTTGACTTCGTTCTAGCTGCTACCGTTAAGTAGCTATGCTTAAGCTTCAGCCCTCCCAAAATGGCCCTAAATATGCTTGAACTTGTTGAGAATGTGAAGTTTTAACTTCTATTTTTATCTTCTCTTTTTTTTCACAGGATCTACAGCAAAAGTACAGCTCCAACAGTAAGCTCCCTGTCCTGTCCTTGAGTCCATGTTCATCTTTAGTTCTTAAAATGTGGTTTTAAGCATATACATGAAAGTTGCCTTTTATACGAGTCTTATTTACTCTCCATTTTATTAAATACTTGATTAAGACATGGCATGCACCAATGGGCATACAAACTTAGAAACAGTTCTATCAATGGCCTTTTGTATCTTCTCCAAGCTCTTTGCAGTATTTCTTCCCTTTTGCTTTTCAGAAGAAACAAATTGATGGAGTTCTTTTTTTATTTTCTTAGGAAAATCAAAAACAAATTGCAATGTTAGCTTTAATCATGCCACCCCGCCCATTTCCAAATCTGTTCCACCTCCCAAAGGTAGTAAAGTAATATGTGGTAGAATCTGGGAGGCATTCAATCGGGAAACTGCAAAGGACACCAAGTCACCTCTTGAACCAAAGAGAATGAAGAAGAGAGCTGATGTGGGTCATGCAAAAGCCTATCCTGAAATGGTTAATAGAACCACATTCAGAAGCCAAGGTGCAGATGGCTCCGGCATAACCTCAACGAAAGATGCAACAAGCACTAGAACTCCTTCAGCAGAGAGATTGAGGGAACCTCTTCCATGCCAAGGAAGGAAGGAGTTGCTCAGTCTAGTGCAGGAGGCAATGCAAAGTCCAAATTGTGATGCATTAAGTGTTCCGGCTTCTCAAAGGAAGAGGGTTGCTGCTCCTGGGCAACTGGAGAGGAAACTTTTTTATCTGACTCCAATGCCTTTGCACTCTTCTGGAATTCCTGTTCCTGGTGCTGGCATGTTAAAGAGTAAGGGTAAGTTACCTGTTTCATGATTATTCCAGCATTGGTTTAGTAATTCTCTCCAATAAGGTTTCAATGACCAAGCATTTTTTCCTTTGTTTTTAGGGTATGGAAAACACAAAAGAGAAGGGCCTTGTGTGGGAACCAAGGGTTTCCGGGCTCCAGAGGTAATTTCTTCCCACTGTTATCACTTTTATAATAAATTCAACAGCCTTTATTTGTACCCTGATCTCTGCTGATCCAAGGATATCACCTGAAACTTCTCAAATTTTCTGTTCCTTTTGAGATGTGCATGAATGCATAGACATTCATACATGTCATTTTTACATGGGATTGAGTAGTCATTTTTATAACAGTTAATAGAACAGAACACCCTTACAGTAACTCTAATTTGGTGGTCACCATCTGCTCAAGTTAATTACTGAACATTTGCAATGAGTGATCCTCACATGCAGCTCACACATTTTTTAATTTCTTTTCTGTTTTTTTTTTCTTTTTAATTTTTGTCTTTTTCAATCATATCTGGTTTACTGATACAAAATTTAGTATGGTCCATATGGTGGATATATCAATGTCTTGGACCTTCAGACTTGGTACCACAAAAAACGACCCATCCTTATTGGTGGAGGCTTATACATGCCTGTGTTTGTGTTCTATGATCAAATTGTCACCACCATTAAATTTAATGTTTGTGCAGGTCTTGTTCAGATCTCCACATCAAAATACTAAGGTTGATATCTGGTCTGCTGGGGTTACCTTACTTTATCTGATGATTGGAAGAACACCTTTCGTTGGTGATCCTGAGCAGTAAGATGCTTGTATTTCCCAAAACGTAGTGGTTTAAATCTTTCATTTGTCCACTGACCATATTGCTGTCATTACAGGAATATAAAAGACATAGCAAAGTTGAAGGGCAGTGAAGACCTATGGGAAGTGGCCAAGCTACACAACCGTGAATCCTCATTCCCAGTGGTACTCATGAGTTTGAATTTCTTGAATTTGATTTTTCTCCAGTAGCGATAGTGCGTTGTGTTAAAGAATGCCTATTTGTTGCAGGAACTGTTTGATATACAGTCCTTACCATCACTGGAACTACGGGCATGGTGTGAAGCTAACACAAAAAGACCAGACTTCCTTGATCTGATACCCAGATCACTATTTGATCTTGTTGATAAGTGCTTGACTGTGAACCCAAGACTAAGGATTAGTGCCGAGGAAGCTCTTAGGCACGAGTTTTTTGCTTCATGTCATGAGGGCCTCAGGAAGCAGAGGTTGTTGAGGCGGGGCCTCAACATGGACCCAGGAAGTTCTCTTTCACATGGACAAGTGTGACTGTTTGGGTGCAGCTGTGAAGGCTTCAGATTCAGGGGCAAATGTGATGAGAGCTGTGAAGTTTTCAGCTTACAACTGACACCAATGTACTGGGCTAACTCCTTTGGTTTCTTGTATGCAAGCAAAATGTTGTAAATTGTCCAATCTCAGTGTGCCGTTCATTCTTTCCTCATGGTATCCAATTGTTCCATCCTGTATCTCTTTTTTGGGTATCTTCTGAAGGGTTACACCGTTACACAGCAATGGGGGGGTAGCCTGCAACCTGCTGGACCAACCAGCTGGTTGGCAGTTGGCACCTTACATCCTGTATCTCTTCTGTATCAATGATTTCAGTCTAATTTAAAGGGTAATGATATTTTTAAATAACTAGGTAATTACTCTTCGAAGGATGACAAATTACATTAGAGGAGCCTCCTCCCAAGTGTTTTTTTTTTTAATATTACTACATCTGCCCTCCCCTATAATTTGCTTGACTGCTTCAAGGGTCCAACTGTCCAAGTCCTTGTTGTCTCCAACCATCCATTAAAGCCTGCAGCCTGCAACTTCGGTTGGGCAACTTGAGCGGATTTCCGTTCAACCAAAGCTGTAAGCTCGATTCAGTTCATTTCTTACACAAGTCTAGTTTGGGCTTGTACTTAAAAAAGGGTTGTTGGGTTTGAGTTGAAGCATAACTAGAAGTCTACAATGAGAGCCCGTGTAGGAGGGCTTCTGCATTGAGTCGTGTTGGCTGAGCTACTTCAGAGAAGCTAATTGAGATATCTTCACTGGAAAGTCTATCTTGTGGCTCATGCTAGCCTATTTTTGGCTTTCGGTTTTTATTTATTTATTTATCAAACATGGTTTCATGGCATTATGGGTTTTTCAGCTCATGACTGTCAGAAGCTGCTGCATGAAAGTCCACCCAAACGGGCACTAAGTCTAAGTAGGGATAAGCATTACACTGGGCAGCCTGGGCCTAGCCTAATCTCTGGTTTGAACCCAACATAGGGTTGGCCTATGCCAAATTACAGGCAGTTCGCACAACGAAGTGGTGCCCTGGTAGAAACCAAGTTAAAATCAGCTTTGATGCCATTGTTCGGAGTAATGGTCAAACTTCCATTGGTTGGGTTGCGCATGACCATATTGGGTATCGGCAACATATAAAGGAGTTGAGAAATTGTCAAATTTTCAATGGGCCCAAACCATAAACACATTAGCTTGGGAGACTTACACAATTGGTTAACACTATAAGCACTGCTAAAGCATGGACAGAAAAGGAGGCAATTCGAAATGCTATTGAGAAGAATTACCAAAGCGATTCCAAATCGATTGTTGATTGTATCACAAAAATAATGTAATCGACTTGGAGTAGTGTAAACATTATTCAGGACATTCAAGGTACTAGTAAATTTGTATGTGGCAATTTTAGATGACGAAGATAGTAATAAACATTCAAACTATTTTAAATTTTATATATTTCTATATATATAAATTAATTCTATATTAACGATGATTCAAATGTTTTCTACAAATATTATGCAGTTTTTTTTTTGCTTTTGCCTTTCTTTAATTTTTATTATATAATTATGACATCATGACTTGACCCATTTGACCTAGATGGTTGAATTGCTTATCCACCACCTAAACAGGAGGACAATTTCATTTTTTGGTTCAACTTTGAAAAAATGAGATTTATTGTCAAAAGTATTGGATATAGATCTAATAACAGAATTTATTGGTGATAAAATATCTTAAATATATCATTTAATGAGATAGAATAGGCGTTGGCCCCTCAAATATATGACTTAATGAGAGGGATTTGAATGAGGTAAAAAATAATAGTACAAAATACATTTTTTCCCCTCAATTAAAAAGGGACTAAATTCAAATTACATTTTTTACATTTATTATATTTCCATGTGCATAAAAATAATTCTTATTTATGACACTTGTTTTTGTTTAATAAGATGAATATACAATATTAGAGATGCATCCAAATGTTTTCTTTTGTAAAGTTTATGTATTTTTTTCAGTTTTATTATTTTTTTAATTTTTATTGTTTAATTATGACCTCAAATATTGACACATTTGAATTAAAAGTTGAATTGTTGATCTGGATCAAATAGGAATTTGATTTCATTTTTTTGTTGGTTTTAAAATTTGTGTTTCATTTCTATTATCAATATAAACAATTCTTGTTTATGATACTTATTTTTGTTTATTACAATTAATATAAAATACCAGAGAAATGACCCACATGGATTCACCCAATTGACCCTAAATGGTTGAATTGGTTTATCCACCACTTGGATGGAAGAGTGGTTTCATTTTTTTTGGTTAATTTTAGAAAATTATAAATTGCTGAAACCTACCTTGAAGTTTCTAACTGTTGCTAAAATCTCCCTTGAAGTTTGGTAATTGCAATTACTTCCCTTGAACTTTCTAATACAGTTGCAAGTAGATCCTCTCTCTTAGAATCCTCTAACAAGAGGCACACAAATGTCCAAAATACCCATGTAGTTACCATTGAGGCTGGTTTTTGCATAGCATAATGCAAGCTTTATGAACAATAAAAAAAGAAAGTTTAAAATTGCAATTTTTTGAGGGATTCATATGAAGGAAAATTTATAAAATAAATCAATTTCAAAAAAGAGGTTGGAAGGATTTGGGATAGTGATTGATATGAAGGGAAAAAATGGAAAATAAACATTTTAGTCAAAGTAATAAAATGGTTATTTTGGACATTTTGATGCCTCTTGTTAGAGGATTATAAGAGAAGGGGTCTACTTGCAGTTATGCTAAAAAGTTCAGGGGAGGTGATTGCAATTACCAAATTTCCAGGGGAGTTTCAGTAATGGTTAGAAACTTCAGGGGAGGATTTAGCATTTTATCCTTTAAAAAACATGGGTTTCATTTTGTTAAAATGTAGTTGATAAAGATCTAATTATTAGAATGTATTAAATAAAAAATGGGTAAATTTCTTAAACTACCCTTATGGTTTAGCTAATTGACTAAGTGTTGTACTCTTATTGTTTGAAAATTGATTGTCGCTACTCTTATTGTTTTTACCCTTCTACGGAGTTACATTTGTGTCCCTCATTATAACTTAACTCAAAACCCTACTCAAACACTCGCCCCATCAATCAAAAGAGGGAGGGAGTGCCATCTATCGATGCAACCAACACCATCACCATCGCCAATGACGGCGATCATTGCAACTAACGAACGACGGAGGTTTGGTGGAGGTTGGTGAGGGTTTTTGTATTTTGAACACTGATTTTTTGTTTGTTTAGTGTTAATAAACCCTAATCAAAGCGGCGAGGGTTTATACTGATACATGTGCAAATTTTGGTAGCTTTTGTAGGGTTTTTTTTTTTCGCTTTTGCAGTGAGTTCTACGGACGGACTGAGTGTATTCTTTAAGAGGTCTAGCCTCTTTAGCAGTGAGGTCTTGCCAATGTTAGTTAAACGTTGTTTGGTGGGAATAAGTTACCATGAAGCCAATGATGCCAGAGGAAAGGTCTTTTGTTCTTTTGACTCAGTGTTAAACCCTAAAATTCTTAGAAAAGTCAAGGTTTTAGGGTTCTCTGAAATCTTTCAAATTCAAAGCGGGTATTGTTGCTTGGGGTTTAATTCGTGAAATTTGGAGTTCTTGCTTGTGAATTTTGAAGGTTTAAGAGCGTTGGGTTTCTTTTGAATTTTTGGTGTTGGATTGTTTGAAAATGGAAGCAATGATGTAGGGGAGGTTTACTATGGGCAAGTAGTCATCACTTAAGCCACCAAAGCATGATGATATGATACTTTTTGGCTTATGTATTTGGATAACGAAGGAGATCTTGAAGGGATTGAAGAGCTTTTGAATTCAGGGACCAATGTGAATTTCAAGGACATTGATGGACGGACGGTGCAGGGTTATGCGTCGGACCCATGAAGCCGGTGATGCCAGAGGAGAGGTCTTCTATTCTAAAACTCAAACGAACCGAGGAAGAAAAGGACAAATGTTGAAGCACCTCGTTGGAGTGCCGAGATGGTGGGTGTAAGTGTGGTGGTAAGGCTACGTACGGGGGTCTCCTTGAAAGATGAAGGAGGGATAAGGGCAAAGGGTAGGCTAAAGGATCTGATTGATAGAATGATGTTCTTGTTATGAGTCAAGCCTCCTTTTATAGGGAGAGATCCCGATGTCCTGAAAGGAAGGAACCAAAAGTGTTTTATTCCCACTAGGAAAGAGAATCTTTGATTCAATGTCAATTGTTAGGGGATACCGTTAGGGTTTTTCCATGTGTCTTATGAGATCTTTGTAGGATGAGGTTTTCCTTCGTCTAAGGATTCTCATAATACACATATGCTACTTCCTTTTGCGAGTCTCTTAAACTGACGTGGCATGGATGACGTTAATACTAATCTTATGTGTATTTTCTAATCTTACTGAGCGTTATGTCACGAGTGATGTCGATAAATCACATGTTTCTCTGTTTGCGATGGCCTTGAGCTCATCGCAGGTTCGCGATGGCTTTGAGCTCATTGCAAACCCACAATGGCTTTGAGCTCACCGCAGGCTCGCGATGGCCTTGTGCTTATCACAGATATTTGGCAACTTTGAATTCCGTTTTGGTGCCCTAGCTTTGGGTCTTTTATAGGTCTGTGGTGACCCTGAGCTCATCACAAGTTTGTGTAGGCTTTGAGCTCATTGCAGATGTGTAAAAAGTCATGAACTCATCACGGGTGTCTTTGTGGCATCGGTTTAGCACCTTTGGCGCTATTGCAGTTGTGGTGATCAACATGTACCTACATTGGGAGTTGCTGGTATAATGACAATGATTTGGATTTAGCACCTCTTTGTTTATGTATCCGACTACATTAATTAACTCAAAATTTAATGCACAATGAAGCAAACACAAGGAAACCAAAGCCTTCACCAAAGAGCAACAGCCAGTGGTTGTTTTCATTTTCAAAATTTTCATTTTGAAAATTTATTAGCGCCACTGGGTTTGCCGCTGTTGAAAGGAAGAAGACAGTCGGGTAGGAGAAGAAGAAGTGAGAGGGAGAGGGATGAAGGGTGAAATTCGGTTTTAAAAAAATTATACATCACGTGTGTGGATTTTGACGGAATATTAACGGGTGCTAATGATAAAGTAGAGTTAGTCAATTGTCAAAAACAATAGGGGCACTTCAAGACAATAGTCAAACATTAATGGTAGATTTAGTCAATTAGCTAGACCTT